ATGAGGAGATGGACACTGATGACCCTTTTGCCCGCTATGGTATGGGGGGCGGTGGAATGGGCGGGTTCCCTCGCTCCTTCAGCTCCGGTATGGGAGGAATGGGCCCTCACAGTAGCGTTGTAAAGAAGCAGCAGGACCCCCCCGTGGTTCATGATCTCCGCGTGAGCTTGGAGGAAGTTCTTTCGGGCTGCACAAAGAAAATGAAGATCTCGCGTAAAAGGCTGAACCCCGACGGGCGATCAATAAGGGCAGAAGATAAAATCCTAGAGGTGCAGATAAAGAAGGGGTGGAAAGAGGGCACGAAAATCACGTTTCCCAAAGAGGGGGACGAGACTCCCACGAACATTCCAGCTGATGTGGTGTTTGTGTTGAAAGACAAGCCACATCCAGTATTCAAACGCGAAGGCTCTGACATCATTTACACAGCCAAAGTGTCCCTCAGAGATGTAAGTTAGGATTACACCTTCTTGTCACTTACTTTTCTTAAACACCTCACATAAATGCTTGAATACAAACCCAAAGAATTGTTAGCAGCTGAAAATCACGAGTTGAAATTGAAGTTCCTATAAGTGCCTGTTCGTGATCTTAACCTGTGTTTCTCTCCCTGTTATTTTCCCTTCTGTCCCATCAGGCCTTGTGTGGCTGCACAGTCACTGCACCCACCTTGGAAGGCAAAACAGTGACCGTCTCATCAACAGATATCGTGCAGCCAGGGATGAAGCGGCGCGTCAGTGGCGAGGGGCTGCCTTATCCCAAACGCCCAGATCGTCGAGGTGACCTAATAGTGGAGTTTGAGGTTAAGTTCCCAGAAAGGCTCAGCCAGAGCGCCCGGGACACCATCGCTCAGGTCCTCCCACGATCTTAAGCAAGACCAGCGGACCTCCAGGACTTTACAACTGTCAGACTAAGCTGCCAACTATTTTTTTTTTTATCAATCATCACATGGACGTTCATGTGGAGTCACACCAGACAATAAAGGAAAGACTCATGGGACGGGATTGTCAACCATAGTGTAAAAACACCATGGGAAAATGCTGACCATGAATGACATGAATGCAGCATTTCAGAGGCTAGAATGTAAATATGAATGACACTGTTTGGTGTTTGGTTTACTGAATAAGATTATATTTTGATGAAAATAAATGTATTATAATATATGAAATATACGTGCACTATTCTGTGAGAACTGCTTTGTTGGTAATAAAGGTTCTCCCTAAAAAAGATGTTTTCTTTTTGTATGAAATTGTAACATAAAGACGTGCATTGAATTGTTTACATAGTTAGGATGGAACGCTTATAAAGTGTGTAGAAAGATTTCTGTACGGAGAAGTCTACACTTGAAAAGTTGCTGACTTATAACATGCCACTGTCATCATTATGGAAAGAACAAGACAGACATTAAAACTAGTGCTGTAAACATGAACCGGGGTACTGTTTGTGTTTTCCCTGCAGCCACTGCTGACACCAGAGAGTCAGCTCTGACAACAAGGGAAGGCTAAAGGGCTCTTGTGTCCTGTGAGTGACCTTATATTCTTTTACATTCACAGATGCTGCTGTCATTGTATCTGACCAATGACGGCCTGCTTGCCAAAGTCTTTCTCTGTTGTTAACCTCAATAAATGTTTGTACACTTCCAACTGATCTGTCCGTCTTAAGTTAAAACTGTGGATGTTTTCAAGTTCACATTGTAAGTTGCACATTGGACCGTGATTGGCTTCCAAACTGGTTTTCATGTCACAAGATCAGGCTCGTAAGTACACATGTTTAGACACTTTTGGGGAAATACACTTATTCCTGGTCTTGCCAAGAGTTAGATAAGAAGATGAATATTTCTCTCATGTGCCGTTCATTATGGATCTGGAGCCAGCATCTCTTTACACTTTTTTTGTGCATAATCAAGATATATAATGAGTTAGATAGTGAATTAAAGAGGCACATTTTGACAGAGCCAGGCTAGCTGTTTTCCCCTGCTTTCGGTCTTTATACTAAGCAAGGTTAGCAGGCTTAAACTAATCCAGGCTAATGTGATGTTAGTCAGCTAACATAATCCTGTTCTTCAAAATAAGCAAGGTTGGATTTGTTAATCTTGTATCTTGAAAACTCTTAATTTAACATAAACTCTTGGTCATTGTTGTGTTAGAAGCACACACTTGTGTGATATAAGGGGAGGGTCCAAAATTTTATAATTGTGGGCAGGGCCTTGCTTTTATATAAAACAGAAGATTCAGCCCTCTTACTCATAGCAATAATTTCCATACAGTCCCTTATAGGAGAAAGGGCTGTCTGCCCTTAACCATAACCCACGAGTGTGCAAGCCTAAAAACTAGGTGGAGCAACTTAAAGCTAAATTTTCTGAAATCTGAGGGTGATTTGCTGAAGTAAGTAGAATTTGACCTTTAAGCCTTGCTTTATGAAACAACCCTCTGGCTGCTCTCTGATACCCGTGACACAGTCAGCAGACAGCTTGTTGAGTTTGATGCCCGCCAGCTTCATGTACTGTAGATGCACTGAGCCACACAGAGCCAGCTGCAAGAGCCTGAACAATAAACATAAAGACTGGAGAGTTCATGCTGTGTCACAGTCATGGGCTGGTCCTTCAGAGCAGAGTGACAGAGATAAGGGGGTGGAGAACTGTGTATACTGTTTATTCTTTGTTTGAAAAAAAATGTAATGGCCATTGTTAAAAAAAAATGGAATTGTAAAACAGAATCATGCCCATTTACTGACATGAGCTGAAGACAAACAGCTGCTGCAATCATTTCCTGCACAATCACATCTTTGTGGCTTCTCTGGACCATTAGGGCACGTATGCTTTATGGCACTGAATCAGATGACTAATTCGAAGCAGACTGCTGCGTTTTTTCTGAACTTCTGAACTAAAATTTTCTTCTTGGTTTGTTTTTAACCTGGATAAAGAATGAAGATTCTTCATGTCTTCATTTTTTGCTGGTTGTCAGGTGAGTTTTAATGTATTTTCCTCTTGAAAACATTCATATCAGTAAGTTTTATTTGTAAAAGTGTCATTCTAATTTTATCATTAACTTAAATGTAAATGTAATGCTGAACTCCACTGATGGTATTTGATATCGTGTTTTCTTAGTTGAAAAGTAACATTGTAATTGTCTCCAATAATTCCTTAATTATCTAAAATAGTTCACTCTTATGTAATCTATGTTTATGCTGTATTCAGAAATACAGCCAATGAATCAATTCAGCTGAAGTAAATTAGTAAAATGGTGCTGTTTAAAACCATATTAACTGCTTTTTATAATACAGCAGTAGTGGCTGCAGATTTGTTTTACACACCATATATTGTAACCACAATGATCTTGGTTCAATTCTGTATATTTAAAAAAACAAAAATATATTGAAACATTTAAAAAATGAACATAGGTACATAATTATGGGAATGATCACATACAGCTGAATGAACTGCTCATTGCACATAAATTCTGATATATAAAATTAACTTTGATGACTGAGTCAGGAATATTGGGTGAACCCAATGGTGGAACAATTCAAACTTGCTTTGTTTCTTTTTTCAAATTGATTCACAAAATATGTAGAAAAAAACCCAATTTCTCTTGTTGCATGGTATTAAATAAGTTGAGTAAAGTAGTATAAAAGTTAAAGCGCCTATAACTAGTATTTATTGTATAATTATGACGTGAAAACAATGTTCTGCTGGCCTCTGGAAGGAGATTCCGCAGCCTGTGGAGCAGAACAGCCAGACTTAATAAAGGCTTCTTTCCTTATGCCATAAGACCACTTAACAATGCATAACCATTCCCCCTCCCCTCCCCATGCTCGCCCACACACCTACACAGGACTTATTTATTATTTATCATTTTTAATCTTATTTGTATTTAATACAAAAGTTTCTATTTACATAGGCAACCACACTGTGAAATATATTTATCTTATCTTTTATACAAAAGTTTTTCTTTTCTCTCTCTTTTTTATATTTGCAT